AATGTTACGTCATATTCAAATTAGTAATTAGAATATATTTAAATTAGATTTGACCTCTTTTTTCACAACGTCAGTAATATAAGTGCGAGTAAACAATTCATTCATTAAGGGTTTTCATACGCCCACCTTCCCTCCTGTTTCAACAGTTTGTTAGATCTACTTGGGTTTCCAACATTTAACTCCTGGCATCGCTGATGAGTCCTATTTGTTTCAACCTATAACTCTCTATGACGCGTATCATATCTCAATTCACATATGTGAATGACGACACTAGAGATGGCAATCACAGATAATGCCTTATTTTGAGGTAAAATAATAATATAACGTTAAATTGTCGGATCAATTGTGAACATGTTTACTTTGCTTAGAGGAAAACGGTGCCGTATAGGGACCACAGAACCAAATTAAAAATAGATGGTGGGTTTTTCCCTTTTGGGTAGCAGATTTCATAGGAAAGCGAATGCCTCGGGGCTGTGGTTGGATATTTAGGTGGTAGAGGTTTCAAAAGTTTTATGTGTGAATTGAGCTATATATATAGATGTGAAGTGTATAAAAAAACACCACAATTCAAGTCTGTTGTTCTCCGGGGGAGTTTAGTAAGTGTGTAATTTATTGTAGGTTTTGGTCAATTTTTGGTGCCGAATTCAATACAAAATGGCGGCCCCAATTAAAAAAAAAATTCAAATAGGTAGAATTTTTAAACTTCTTTTTTATAGGTATGTGAGATGACATTTTTCAAAATGAGGGCAGGTGTGAACCAGTGTAGATAACCCCATTTAACATGGACAGTGGTAAACGTTAACACTATCGTCTATGGAAAATCGTTTGGTTCTGCGGTCCCTATACATGTAAATATATGGCGTGACGGTAAAATTGGGAGTTTGAAATAACCTCGTCTCAGTAGTTTCTGGATATCTATCTATAGCGGGGACATTTTTCATGACTGACAGGAAATGGACGCTACACTTTCTTTTTAAGACATACATAGTTTGATGCCCAATTCATATACACATTCATACCACGAGCATTCAAGCTCTCAAAATGGTACATGCTGTTACATTAACAACAATGAAATAATTCTGTTTACATAATAAAATACAGTCACATAATTTTGTCTTGACGAATAAAAACTCGACTTTACAATATCTAATGGAGTGGTGTAGTGGGCTAAACCGGTAGGTCTTACTTAAACACGAGTTTCAACGTTTTCGTCTTCGATGGTTCGAATCCTGCAAGCATCACTTTTTTTCCTCAAACAATATCATTTTTTACGGCTCATTTTGATATTGTACAAAGTGATTATTTGCCGTCAAACGTTTTTAATTTTTGTAGAGGCATCTTATATGTAACACTAGGAAAAATGGAAAGTAACATTTGCCTAATGCACGGAATTTTATTTGACATGGAATACCATTGCGTAGGGGAGATAACACTTACGTTCACCTGACGGATGTAAGGAAAATGTTTCATCAAAACATAATTAATTTAAAATTCTAAAGAAATGTCAGGCTATTTACTAAAATAGAGCTGTGATTTCTTAAACTTAATAATGTATTTGGATCCTTTCCATTGGTTAATGCACGGAATTGTATTTGACGCAAAGCACGAGATATGCAAATGAGTCTATACCAAGGTTTCCGATTTCCAAAATTTCTTTATAGGAAAGTGTGTTAGAGGGAGGACGGTGGGCTAAAACAAGTGGCAGAACGAATCATTTTAAACCCCACTATGTCCAAATGTTACGTCATATTCAAATTAGTAATTAGAATATATTTAAATTAGATTTGACCTCTTTTTTCACAACGTCAGTAATATAAGTGCGAGTAAACAATTCATACATTAAGGGTTTTCATACGCCCACCTTCCCTTCTGTTTCAACAGTTTGTTAGATCTACTTGGGTTTCCAACATTTAACTCCTGGCATCGCTGATGAGTCCTATTTGTTTCAACCTATAACTCTCTATGACGCGTATCATATCTCAATACACATATGTGAATGACGACACTAGAGATGGCAATCACAGATAATGCCTTATTTTGAGGTAAAATAATAATATAACGTTAAATTGTCGGATCAATTGTGAACATGTTTACTTTTCTTAGAGGAAAACGGTGCCGTATAGGGACCACAGAACCAAATTAAAAATAGATGGTGGGTTTTTCCCTTTTGGGTAGCAGATTTCATAGGAAAGCGAATGCCTCGGGGCCTGCTGGTTGGATATTTAGGTGGCAGAGGTTTCAAAAGTGTTATGTGTGGATTGAGCTATATCTATAGATGTGAAGTGTATAAAAAAAAACAAAAAAACAATTCAAGTCTGTTGTTCTCCGGGGGAGTTTAGTAAGTGTGGAATTTATTGTAGGTTTTGGTCAATTTTTGGTGCCGAATTCAATACAAAATGGCGGCCCCCAATTAAAAATAAATTCAAATAGGTAGAACTTTTGAACTTCTTGTTTACAGGTGTGTGAGATGACATCCTTCAAAATGAGGGCAGGTGTGAACCAGTGTGGATTACCCCATTTAACATGGACAGTGGTAAACGTTAACACTATCGTCTATGGAAAATCGTTTAGTTCTGCGGTCCCTGAAAGCTCGGTAAACACGGCTATATCCACCATTGGTAAATGAAGGGTAAACAAAGCAAACACTTGGCTAGCGAAGATGGTTTCTTTGCTGATAGGTACGGATTCAGTACCTCAGCGTACATATGTAGGTCACAGAAATAACGTAAGCTAGCTAGACTTCGTTCGTAATCAGCTATTATGGTTGATATATTTATTCAAAACTGTCTGCCAATTATATATTAAAATAATCGAAAGATTTGATTTTTTATCTAGATAATGGGATGTTTTCCATATTTGCGTGTTTTGTGCTTCATCGCGTTTATGATATACAGCTTTAGTCGACGTATAAACAAAGAAAACCCAGTATGAATATGTCAGTTTCATTCCAAAGTGACACACTGTCGAATGACTCAAACATAACAAGAAATGAACATTGATCCATGGAAACACACTGAAGAGGATCACATTCCAAGATTTTGGCTGATTGGAAAGGCCACAGCTAATAACTTTCGAACCGCTTTGAGACGATCTACGCAATCAGATGTGATAAAGCGGTATATAAGCGCCTCGAGTTATTATTATTATCATATATCATATTTAATACTAGATAATATATGTTACCAAGATATCTATATTTACGAATGTTGAGATATATATTTATATAATGTATGTCAACAACCTTTCCAAAATTTAATGTGTTGTCCCCTTATCAACAGATCTGGTCTGAGGAGCCAGTTGGACGAGGGGCCAGGAACTTCCTCACCGATATCGGCGGGTACCTACAGTCACTTATATTGAGATAAGGAGGATTTTGGATATTCGAGGACAGGCTTCAATTTGACCCCACGTTACTTCCTGATACCTCGACCTTCAATATAACCGTGGTAGATTATCTTGGAGGGTACCTAAATATTAGTTTTGATACTAAATACATGAGTATTAACCAAACTAGGGCTGCTGTGGATGAGATGGAGGTTGTTACAGCCTCGACTAGTGACTCGCAGACTCTGGACATCGGCTTTATAGTTCAGTACCAAAGGGGAAACGCAGCATTGAAGCTTGTCTGATGTGTCGCATAGTGTCACATATTCCATATCTGCCAAATATTCTTGTCATTAAACAATTGCTATCTTCATGCCAAACATTTGATTCAGTAGTTATTTATATACGTTCGAGTGGATTGACCTAAAGACCTTTCAAGTTTGATAGTTATTGACGAAAACTCAACTCTGAATATGGATAGTAAGATAACAGTTCGAACAAGTCATCGTGATACGAAAACAATTTAACAAATATTAATTCTCAACATGTTTGAGATGGAATTATGGATAACTGTTACACATTTTATTGATGTTTAATCCTGAATGACCATACTGTGTATCTTTTTGGAACCACCCGGCTCTGGTTGCTGAAAGGTTAATTAGCTTTTTAATCAGTGGTGAACAAAATGAAATTGTTGCCACTAAAAGGTAAGGCTTTCAAAAAACGAAATATATCATCAAAGTACACCAATCTGATTACTCTAAATAAATCTATAGCTGATAAGATATGTGAGATATTCAGATTTGCACAAACGTGGACTGATAGTTTTAAAGACAAATATATATATTTGCCAATAAAGGTTTTCTAAGGTACCGCTATAGCTCCGCAGATACTTCGCAGATTTGTGCCTCGAAGAATTGCTTCAAAGACTTTTTGATAATTATGTCCTTATAACTAGCCTTGTATACTTGAACTTAATTGTGGCATCAATAACACTGGGATATGAAACAACAAAATATACACCTTTTATTCATTTAGTCAATGACATGTTTGTTGAGGATTGAGTGAATACAGCACAACACCTATACTTTATTTTTTAACAGTCCCTGGGGAAAGACATTAAATGATAACGGAATATGGCATATTGTAAATATTTATCTGATTCAGTTTTAAAACAGGCTTTCAAAAACGAAATATATCCTCAAAGTACATCAATCTTATTACTCTAAATAAATCTATAAGCAGATAAGATATGCAAGGTATTCAGATTTGCACAAACGTGAAACTCAGTCCACGCTACACCTATACGGAAATTACCATGGGGACTTTAAAAAAAAGTTTGTAATATTAATATACTTTTTTTTTTCAAAATATTTCAAAATGTACATACAGTACACATAGTTCATACAGAAAAGAGCAATAATACTATCTAACTATTGTATCATGATATTCCAAATGTACATCATTATTTTGTGGGGTGAAATCGTATAACATGTACACTTCTAATGTGTGAATTTGAATCATAGATGTATCTCAATAAACAAAGTATGCTATCTTCACCAAGTAACCACAAAGATATCACCACCCTCATATCAGTATCGTTTTTAATCTCACCAGCTGTCATTCAAGGTCATACATATCAACAGTAGCTACACTGGTATGTACTCGCGTTATCTTAAGGACGACATACTTTATACTTTGAACACCATGGCCTCCGTGGTTCATGGTTACTGGAGGATTTGATCTGAAAAACGTTTCATCGGGGAAAATAGCAAGTTAATGTAAGTTAATGATGTATTATAATATTGATGTTATTCACTTGCATGCATATAATAAAGCATTATTGAATGCAGTATTTAATTGTTCGTATGTAAAGAAGTTAGTAATGTTTTCAATTTATATTATCTACATTGATATACTTATCTATATATAATCGTACATTGTTTTTGAAGGTAGATAATGGCGGGTTGTCTTCAGGTGCGAGTTCTTTGTTTGTTGTTTTGTATTACACACCAATATGTCGCTGCTGATATACGTATGTCAATCAAAGAAGTCAATGACAGAACAAACGTGTCCATCTCCATCTTAAGTAACAAACAACCCAGAAGTTTTACCACACGGGGACAGGGACACTCAGATAGTGACAGCCGTCACGCCAAGTACGTAACAATGATCCATGGGAATACACAGAAGAGGATCAAATATACCGAGAGACCTTACCCAGCATTCCTCAACCCGGATGTCACGGTGTTTACCACTGAACAGTGAGTTTTTTCACGACCGTAAACTCCTCTTATACATATGTCCACAAATATGAAACTGGTCAGTTGAGTTGTGACTCAAATAATAGGATCGGAGAAAATTAATCATCCCCTACCTTGAGGATTAAACAGAGATATTTCATTCCCTTTTGTGATTACTTGGTTATCTAACCCTCGGCATATTTGGTTTATTTATTTCATCAATTTTTTTAGTATGAAATAGTATTGTACAGCAGGCTAGGCCAATATAAGTTCTCTCCTTAGGTTGACATGACAAAGAAAGATAGTAAATGACTAATAAGAAAATATTTATGTAAAATGTATTTCAGAAGTAGCTTAAATCCTCAGTCTACATAGCAGATGGTATAGGGGAGATAGACCCATGTATGTTTCATTTATATATAACCTATAATATTTAATTGATATTTTGAGCTATACGATGCTCTTATCAAAAAGTCAATTAGAATTAATTAGTAATAGACAATCTATGCCCCAACGATATAATAAACAGAGGAATTACTAGAATCTTCTCTTTATGCAAGTCACCAATGCCTCCTTTCCATACCCTGCTGCTGTTACACGAAGTATAAAAGTATAAAACCATGTGGCATCAGTATATAACTATTGGTTGGAGTGATAAAAAAGCAAGGGATAAAACAAAAACAAAAATAAAATAAAATGAGGCAATTCAGTTGGAAGATTTTGAAATGCATGTAGTATATGTGTAAGATGTATTGCCAGTGCTCTATGTGTAAATATCTAATCCCAACAGCTTCTATCGTTCACATATAATTGCTTCAGGTTGGACAAACAAATGTATCATCTATTTGAGTATGGGTTTTTTCTGTCACAATTTAAAGGTAGGGAAATTTTCTATTAATCCATATGATCAAATGCTGTGGAATGATTACCCAACAAATAAATGTGAACGCACTTGACCCTCTGTTGCAACTGTCGTTTACACTTTAGAGAATTTGGATTTCCAACATTAAGGACTTTGCATCCCCCTAGAAGGACGAAACAGCTGCATGATGCAGTATAATATATTACCAAATGTTAAAGGTACAACCACCTGTGAATGTTAGGTTCATCTTCTAACGAATGAAGATTTCACAATGTGTTTTTTTTCGAATACTTTCAGATTACCCGATGCCATGTCGATGCCAACTATTGGAAACGGTCACGTGGCTACAGTTGTCCATAGCGACACAATGTATCTGGGCGGGCTGTACAACGGTTATAATGTAACGAGTCACAGGGCCAGACTGCAGTCTACATCCTCCATCAGCATCACGGGATTCTCCTTCGATGTCGATACTCGAAAATACTCTTTGGACGTCGGCAGAGGTATGCAAATATTCATGAAACTCTAACTGAAACAAACTAAAAATTCATGCAAGTTTACAATGACGCTAAACCTAACACATGTCAAGTACCACCTTTCGCCATCCTTTACTCTCATGCAGGGACCTGTTGCAGTACCCGTATGGGCACGAGAATGGTCGTTTTATACCCGAACAGGATTATAGCTTAAACTTTGACGCATCCTAAATTTAATTAAACGTAATACCTTGATTGAAACTCTTCTCTCATAATTACCCGTAAAAGACTGGAATTGACCCATGAACAGATACATCTGTCTTTCCTTACACGCGCTATTGTCAAGACGCACTTTTGCATACTTTGCGTCTTGTGCGTCATGGTATATAAACATATGAAGGTCATGGAGTATTGACACTGGCATGCTTATTTCGAGTATGGATACAAAACATCACACATGGGTATGGTTCGTGGACAGGGACATCTCAACCCTCGGCAAGGCTTCGTGCTAGACAGCTAAGCTCTTACCCTCGGGTTGAGATTTCCCTGTCCACGGACCCCACCCATGTAAGATTCTATTAACCTTTGTCATACCAAATACCTTGACTAATACTCGAACTTGGTCATACCTTACACCTTGTCTAAAACGTGATAAATATTATATTTCTTCTACTTATTTGCTATTTGCAATTTTGGTGTCTGTAAATAAAAGCGAAGTTATGTTGTCTGAATCACACTGGCATAGCAATATCGTTCAAAACCAATTAAGAATTTTAGCGGAAATGTCAATAACATTTGATGTATATGTCGATACTGCTTTATTACTGTTACTGTTCCTGAAGAGTAAAAGACGTTTTAAAATATTTTTGGGACTGGTGGAAAAGTGACCTAGGCTTTTAATTGTAATTTTTCATTTATATTCAGGTATGTATATCGAAAGATATACATCGGATTTTGTGACAATAGAGCTAAAAATGTACGCCCACCAAGTCTTGTTCAGCTTGCTGGTCACCGAGATCTCTGTGATCAACGGTTTAGCCGGTAGTGTGCATCTCAACCTCTCACACAACCTCGGACCGCCAAGTGATGACACAGACATTTCCAACACTACTGTAATAGGCGATGCCAGGTAGATTTTATTTCAGAATACTGTGGAAACAGATATTTTCGTGGGGCCGAAAACCGGAGAATTGTTTTATATCAAACCTTTAATGATTTTTTAGGCATATGAATACGCGAAAACAACTTATTTAAATATGTACGAAATTACTGATTTGTGAAGCAAGTTATTCCAGTTTATATTGATCACTCTTGTTAGCCCGGTTAGAATGGCGCATGGTGTCCATATGTTGGAGGAAACCGGAACACCCGGAGAAAACCCACATGGTTGGGCAGGTGACCCAATACCTCTTCACGTCTGATTGGGAAATCGAACCCAAGTCGTCTTGGTTAAAGGCGTGTGCGCTATCCACTACGCCACCCGACCACCATATGATTAATTAACATCGAATATGTATATATTCAGAGTGTAACGTTACTTCTTTACACCGACCATACAACTGCATGCATATCTTTGGACACCAGTCCTGTCAACAGATCCCAATATGTACATTTAACAAGAGCACAATTCAAATACACATTTACACACATAACATTTCCAGCACACACACGGGCATACACACATAGGGAGATACTAGCCAGGTGGCATAGGACTAGTAGCTAGCGCCTGATAAGGCAGCTCCTGCGAGTTCCTCAACATCAAAAACGTATTGATTGATGTAAATGTACTGTAAAGCGCTTTAGAGTGGCTTATGTAAGCTAGATAGGGCGCTATATCAAATGTTGTATACTATTATTATTATTGATATTACTTTGCTGACGTTATCGACGTAAAACGATTTTCCTTGTATGCTCACACAGATTATACATGGGATATATTAAGGAACCAGAGTACCACGCTAAAGACAAGATGCCGTTCATTATCATCTCATCAATCGTCCCTGACGTCATGACCGTGGCTGCTGGCGAGTCCGTCCGGCGTGTATTTATAACCTCTGTGGATTTCACTTCTTACTTGGCTGCAGAATATTTCCAATTAGGTAAATTTATAGAACAGCATTTCTTAAAAGAATTCTTGAATCAATATCAGCAGTAAAACGTCGTAATTTTGAAATGTTTTAAAACTCATAATCACTGTAGTGAAATAAGAAGTGGAATTCATTTATCTCGTTTAGATACTATTTGAATTAACGAGATTCTACTGACACTATACAACATAGAGAAATTTTCAGTACACCACCACCGTAACCCTTACCCTTGAATAATCCCAATATCAACAGTCTCCCTGATTAAATGGTTTTAGTTGTTAGAAAGACGTCACTCCTGAGACAAAGAAAAAGAATCATGCTTAATCACAAGAAATTAGTTCATACTTGATTTTAGAATGTTGATGATATCTTGACCTGTTTTGGCCTCTATTATGAATGTTTTTTCGTATGCAAAAAGGGTCTTCATAATTTGTGTCAGGTTTTATAATATTTGTTTAGGTAGAGTCAGTTGTTTGAGATACTTTAAGTCATAATCTGTGCATATCAAGTCATGATGCATATCTTGTACACGTATGTAAAACAAACTTGTGTTGTTTACTTAAAGGGCTTGATTTTTTCCTGAATGACATGTTGGAATCGACCCACGAACAAGTATGGGAACAGCACAATTGGCAGAAAGGCCGTATAGACGTCGGTGGTAACAACAACCTCAGCAGGATCAACTACGCAGCGATGTACTACTTACTCAGCGAGATCCCTGAAAAAGACCAAGTGGAACCGTTTTTTGGTATATCACCAGGTGGCTTAGCCCATGGTGCCCTGAATAAGGTAAAGAGGATTCCCGTGACCGCTGGCTCTACATCTCATAGCAAAACTCCACACGTGTATACATTTACAATTTTTATTACTTATTGCAACACAGCGATAGGTACACGCCGACACATTTCATCAACTTCAAACTCTAAAAACTCCATACCCTCTTTCATACCATCACTATACCACACCAATGACTACAGTAATCTTCAAAACTACCCAACGTTTCATGAGATTTCACCACTTAAGCTTTCATTTTTGAAACAATAGACTGGATACGTGTGTCGTCTCTTGTCTACCTGTGTTGAATGATACACGTTCGACTCTCGACCACAAGCTGCACGTGCAACTACAACCATGTCACCTATGAGAAAACTCGTAAATTTTTCTAATATTCTGGTGTTAGGAAGTAAAGTGTTATTATCTTGGATAGTTATATTACTTATAACACCCACTGGGGTTTCTTTCTGCATAGCTTGTATCTTGTGTAAAAGTAACGTTTAACTATCTCCAGGATTATGAGGGTCACGTGTTCTGGGACCAGGAGACCTGGATGTTTCCGCCGATGCTCCTTCTGTACAGTGACAAGGGGAAGAAGATCGTCAAGACCAGAGTGAGGAATCACGCAGCCGCGAAACAGTATGCTCAACAGAGAGGCTATCAGGGAGCTATGTACCCGTGGGAAATTGCATTCTCCGGTAGGGTTGTTTTCAGTTAATATTCTTCTTCGGCTATTTATATCAACAGTTGGTATTTGGTATCAATTAGGCTATTATTACCGTAATAACAGTGTCTTTTTTTTAACAATTTTACAGTGTTTCTTTTTGATTTCAGTTAAGATTGCTTTTTCGCGGGTGAATTATAAAGTAATAATCATCTTAGGATTAAGACGAATGGGACAATGATGATATAATAATGTAGTCTTTGAATAACATATATTTCTCTTCATATCATTACACTTTTTCTTAACTGAAAACTTATAGAGACTATGACCGTTGTTCAATATCCAGTCGTATTTTGGGCAATTCTAGAGGTGATTATGTCTGTTTTGGAGTGTTCTCTGCTCCTAATGTATTATACCGTGTGGACTTGTTTGTTTATGCTAATTTCATGTCATTTCTATCTATAAAATATACAGTTTACTTTTTATGATTTATCGAGCAATCAATTAATGGAATATTACAGTACAAATTTATAATACATGTGCAACCACTTAATCATTGGGTGCTTACATTACAGATGTCTTTCGTCTGTGCATTGTTCTTTTTGATTTGTTTTTTTCATATTTCAACAGGTCTAAATGTGTGTCCCTCTACTGCATGTTCCAAATACGAACAACACATCACCGGGGATATAGCGTTCGCCTTCAAGCAGTACATTATGATGACACGGGACTCAGACTTTATCGAGAACGAGGGTGGTGCTGACGTCATCACAGATATAGCCTCGTTCTGGATGTCTCGCATGACGTATAACAAAAGCGAGGACCGATACGAAATTCATGGTAAGTGAATGCTGAAACATTACGGACAATTCTATTTAAGAAATTATTTGTTCTTGAGAAAAGTGAAAAATCATTTTTAGATCGTTGTTGGTATCTTCTACAGTATAGAACCTACATTTGAAAACGAGGACGGAGCTGAAGTCATCAAATATAGTTTTGTCCTTGGTGCATTTTGTATGACTTGCAGGAATCATCTCGAAATACACGGTGATACAAATATAGCAGGGATTCTTGCTATTAAGAAATAATATAAAACTCAGAATGTGCTATATTGGTGTTTCATCTACAATACATATTATCTTTTTTAAGAAAGTACATAACGCACCGTCTATTTGATATATTATTTAAACCATTATATGTGAAGTTTAACTGCTGTTTATCTGCCCTTTATACTGAAGCAACATAAGTGGTACACAATGCTTGTGTATAATGCTACCAGGTTGTCTTCCTGCCTGTTGACAAAATTTGTGTATCCACTTTTCCTATAGTCTTAGTCATATCTTACTCATTGTATGTATGTTTTCCCTGTGTTGTTGTGATTGACATTAAAATAATTACTGTTCTAAATATACTTAGCAGATACTTTCCCTGTTTATTCCTTTCCTCCTAACGTATAAATGGATTTAAATGTTATTCAAACCCTTCAAAAGAGTTTATGACTCCTGATGTGCGTTATTCGTCTGCCTCTGGACACCATTTCCCCCCAACTACTCCACCTAATGAACTGCACCGATTTCCATGAAACTTTCCGCTCTACTTACCAATTACGTTATTCTGGTTATGTGTTCCCTCCATGTTTTATAATCAATGTCGGGTAAATACTCTTGTTGATATTGCCTTACAAATCCTTCTTCAGTCTACTCCGCCTTAAGGTTTAGAACAGTTTGAATAAACATTTAGAAATATGTTATACCGTTTGTATCTTTGCATGTGTCACCGCCATGTCATATAAAATAATATAACCACTGATATTATTACATTATTAGGAAATGCACGTCCTTACATTAAAAAAAAGAACCATTTCCACATAATTCAGATACAATCGGCATAAATAATTGCTTATTTATACATGGGAAACTTTTATCAAACATCCAATTAAATTAGAGAGATTTTGCCATTGAAGTTTATGTTGTTTGTGTTATGTGGTTTTAATGTTAGTAAGCCAAATGAAAGCAGAGGGTTATGTCTACCTTCAAATAGTATATATTTCTAATATATTACATGTCTATATTAAGATCAATTTTATAATGTAATCTGACGAAGTGATTACTTATATAGAATGAACTCCTAATTTGTCAATAAAACTCTCAAAATGATTTTGTTGACAAAATTGACATTTAATTTTTAGAGGTAATGCCCCCAGACGAGTACCACTACCCCGTCAACAACTCTGTCTACACAAACAGTGTGGCGAAGATCAGTCTTCTCCTACCCAAGTACGCCCTCTCTCTTGTCAACAAGACGGCCGATCCAAAATTCGAGGAAAACGCCAAGAAAACATATATACCGTTTAATGACACTGGAAAGTGGCACCCAGAGTTTGACGGATACACTCAAGGTAAACAAATAAAACATAAAGACCTATGATGTAAGCGTCGCTATTCTAAATATAGGTTCGTTGAGTTTACATGACATCTAAATTCAAAGGATGTATATATATGTGTGGGTTTTGATGACCACAGTTATCTGTTTTTGAGTAGTGGTACAGTTCATAATGATAAAAGACTTTGCTAATGATTTAATTCAAAATTAAGAAGTTATCATTTCAAGTTTGAAATTCATAAATTACGGGGTTGGTTTACGCACCTGGCGCTCCGTTTGTACAGTGATTTAGGCAATTTAGATTTACCAACTTTTTGACCCCTAGCAAAACCTATGAGTTCTAGGAGTACAAAACAGCTGTACGGTGGAGTGTAATTCATTGTTTTTGGCATACTGAAGTATCTATCACCAAAATTAAAAGTGCAGTCTTTATGTGTTTTTGGTTCATCTTTGATATCGGATTAGAAAAGACGAATACGTTAGTAAGAAAATCTATGTTTATATTACTCATAACCCCTACCTACACAGATACTACAGTAAAACAGGCGGATGTCGTCCTCCTCGGATTTCCTCTAATGGAAAACATTTCTACGGACGTCAGGAAAAACGATCTTAACATATACGAAAAGGTAGGTAAAGTCTTTATGCGGAACAATATGGTTTGGTATGGTTTAATTTTGTTTAACGTTCTTTTAACAGCTAAGGTCATTTAAGGACGTGCCTCAATGTGTGTTTTGTACGCGTTCTTGCGTGTGTGTATGCAGGAGACAGGGTATGTTGGTGTGCTTTATGCGGAATCATATTGAAAAATATTCCAAATCTAGGATAATTTTTTATTAATTTTATTTCTATAAAAAATATATATATTCCTAAACCAATTATTTTAGAAAGGCTGGTAGTTGTGATTACGTTACTATACTTGTATATAAATACGAATGCTTTATGCTTAAGGGTGATTATGTGAACATAGTCAAATCTATTCCAGGCGACACCGGGAGGGCCCGCCATGACATGGGGAATGTTTGCAGTAGGCTGGTTGGAATTGAACGATACGTCTAAAGCGGAAGCTGCTTTCAAGAAACAATTTCAGAATGTTATCCCGCCATTTTATGTAAGTACTGATTTCTTGTCGGTATTTGTAAACAATAAAGTATTTATAAGGAAACCTTGTGTTGTTTTCATCGCAAAGTCAGCAATAATCTTACTGACATCTAAATAAAATGAAAATAGCCTACTAAGCAAGTTTACAGTATTCCAACTATTTCCAGATTTTTGAGTAATTACACTTAAAGTCTATTATCCATCACTCGATAAATAGTAATATGTACATAATTGATACAAGCAATGAAATAACTTTAAATTGGAAGTGTAGGCGTAAATTCAATTTGTTCTAAACAATAGTAAAATTAATTGTTTCTTTTCTTTAACAACTATTTCTGTCATACCTACATTTACATTTCCTTTCATATTTGTTAATCTAGATATCAATTTCATAATACTATATATACCAGAAGTCTTGAAGACCTGCTATCAATTTGACCTAGATAAATACAGCCAACAATGTATCGCCGTGTCACAGTTATATCCCTTTATTCACAGACCTGGTCTGAGGAGCCAGGAGGACGAGGGGCCAGAAACTTCCTCACCGGTATCGGCGGGTACCTACAGTCCCTCATGTTTGGATATGGAGGATTTAGAATATTCGAGGACAGGCTTCAGTTCGACCCAACGTTACCTCCTGATACCTCGACCTTCAATATAACCGGCGTAGACTATCTTGGAGGGTACTTTGATTTCAGTTTTGATACTAAATACATGACTATTAATCAAACTAAATCTGCTATGGATGAAATGAAAATTGTTGTTCCTTCGACTGGTCAGGCGCAGACTTTGGATATTGGCGTTATAGTCCAGTACCAAAGATGCAAAGCTGCGTTAATGCTTGTCTGATCATCATAGCAATGCACCGCATAAACGAACTTTTAATTGTTCATGTATAAAATGATAGTGTGACCAATGCCATTAATTGTTTCAGGTTATAGGAAAACATATTGTCAATAATGAATTTCAGTTATATGTGTATGCAGGCATAGGTAAATAGTATTACGTAATAATAAAGTGTCGCCAACAGGAATATCAATACAAAAGAATATGTTATTTTTGTATGTATAATGCATTTATATAGCCAGAGGCCGACATTATTTCCCAACTCCTTATTTGTTCTCTATGTTTCATGCATTCCAACATTTGTTCTATAGTGTTTTCTTGATTCAACTGCAATGAAATCAAACAAAATTTACTTTGACGTGCTGAAGGAAAATTATCTGATTTTGTTTTCGTAATTTTTTTTGGCGTTGATTTTATATACCACAGATTACCTAAAAATACAATTTTCCTAAAATAAATGAGAAAATCGTGGCAAATGCATTGATATTTAGTAAAAAATATGGTTCGTAAATACTTAGGTCCATCACTTTCACGAAACGTTGTATTCGTTGCTTGTTGCTGAGTTTTGTTGAATATTATTATTATTATAATAAATGAATTATAACAATTTTATCTTCATTTTCTTCACTTTTATTCGTTATTCTTGCCATGACTATAAAGTACCATTGACATATGTTATACGTTGTGACATTGCAAGCAACAGGGTGATATCACATTTGAATGTTGTCAGTTGACGGCAATTGATTTAATTCGATAGATGATAATCCCGACGTTCTTTCAAAATACATCACATCTTCTCTAAATGTACCTAGGTAACATTCGCGTAACCCGGTTGGAACGGCACATGCGGCGCATACATATTCCACGATAAACGAACGCACTTGGACCGTTCTATAAGCAGAGCTAAACATGCACAGTTTCGGAGAATAAATAGCAATGTATCAAGATTAGTATGCCCATCTTTCACGCGTCCACAGAATTACATAATGTATCTTATAAAGCAATATGTGACTTGGCATTGTTTTAGAAAGAAATGACACAAACCAGCAATAAGCAGCATTTAAGTTTCGGTCAGGTACGTCTGGACCCCTCAATCTGCACGTGCCGAATATTCCTGTATTCCTGAGGTCAGCATCGGTTCAGATCTGTGCCTGTCGTTTTCTTTGCAGGTTCAACTGTTTTAACCGTATCAACCGGATACGAGAAAGTGGCCCTAATGTTGCGAGAAACTGTAACAAAGTGTTGGAAACGTTTTTTCTTGCATGACTATATATGTTGCTTTGATAAATCATTTTGAAAAGAACACTATATCTTGTGAGACCTTTATGACAAATAATCAAGATGAAATCAACAAAATATAATCAACAAACGTGTTTTAAGTAGTAGAAGAAATCAGTGGGGCTAAACCAGGATTCGAACCCTGGCATTCAGATTGATATACTGTCGCCTTTACTGATTGAACTACCAGGTCAACAGAAGTGCCCTGGCCCAACTGTGCTACAGTTATCTCAAATTGGAAGTTAAAAGGGAGGTTACTGTATATAGGAAAACCAACAGTACAGTGGGACAGGGAGCCTTAAGAAACCCGTGTTACTTTATCATCCCGTTTAAGACCCAATCATTAATTTCCTATGAATAAAGTTAATAACTGTACAAGGATTTAAAAAAAAATCTTATAGAGAACCTTGTGTAGACGAATGTAAAAAGTGATCGTTTGAGTTAGACATAAGAACATATATTATGTCATTGAATGCAGAAGGATGTCTTACAAAATGAACACAAATTACCTTATATCTTCACAGTACAATGTACGTGCATATTTGGAAAGATGGACGTAACACACACACAGGTTACTGCAACTTTAAAATTTGGTAATAGATACAGTATATTTAAAAATGAACTGCACTGCATCATACAGCTGTTTCGTCTTTCTAGGACTCGTTGTTGATGTTAGAGGCCAAAAATTTGGAAATCCAAATCGTCCACATTACTGGTGAAACAGAGGGGCAGATGCGTAAAACCACTTACTATTTGATCAATATAAAAGATAAGAGGATATACTGGTTAATTTCAAATTCAATAATATCTTAAGTGTGTACATTATGAACCGTGACACTATCCCCGAGATGAGTGTTGCCATCAAGCTTTGACCACTCTTCATCCCATTTGTCAAATAATAGTACAGCGACATAAACCACGATATGTTCTAGTGTATAAAACGTGTGAGCTGAAAAGTTCGACTAATCATGTAACATCACGTTATCCTCCACATTTGTAACGAAGTGGGCAGACTACAAGGCGTCACAAGGAGATAGTAGTTGTTGACAACGATACGTAACCTATTATAGCACTCCTGCACATTCTTAGTAACCTAATGGTATACATATCTTAACTAGTTTATATGGTATACTATAGCAGTTTTCAACAAAAAGCACCTGAATATGATACATGATAAAACACAATTCTACATTCTCCGAATTACAATATTTTGACATGTTTTAATGTGTCACTAACTGTTCATAAATATCAATAGAGATACGCATTTAGGGAGAGTTTTATTTGCAAGTGATTGTAGGTTGATTCAGAAACGAAAACCTTTAAAAAAATAATACTGTACACCTTAAGTTGATTGCAGTTTATCTGAAAGTTCAGAGGATTTTGGATATGACCTTTAGAAAGAACATCTAAATTTTTTAGTTGTTCAAAATATGATATTCATTACCTTTCGATAATGCTGCGTCAAATTGCTGATATTTTAGATTTTGTTTGAAAAAGTTTATCAATATGTCGAGATTATGTCACTGAATTCTCACGTGATGTCCAGCCCGCAATATGTGACACTTACACTTATGAGCGGTGACCTGTTACACAAGCCCCTATCAATTTGTTCTATCAGCTTACATCCTATCGGTTTTTCAGGAAGGTGAACATGTAATATACAATTTGAAATCGACGACAGCATAATGCCGTACAATTATTATTGCAGCGATGAGATCGTACGAAAATTTGGTGACAATTCTATTATTTCAGAGAAGCTTTGACTTGAAACACTGTTTATATGCTAACAATGCTGATAAATAAAGAGCCAGAGTGGACGTTTCAACATGGTCAATTGAACAATTTAGAGAGGTCAACAGATAAGATAGCCATTGCATATATTAGGGCCAAGTGTCCAAATGTGGTCACTCTCAGAGATTGGGGAGCCACAGTTCGGACGTCATCATACACCATGAAATACCTAATCCTCATCAGTGCTCTTGCTTACGTAGCCTACTCTCAAGTTCCCGGGCCTTGTGGTAAGTAACACGAAATTCTAAAGTCTTGTGATACATAAGTTGAGTACCTAGTTAAATGGTAAAAGTATCCTGAGCTAGATTCCATCATATAACTGCTGGTTCCTGAATTATATTTGTTATAAAATCTAAAAAAAAAAAAAAAAGCATTTCAAACTGCTGGTATTCAAATGTAATATTCGAAATTTTACCTATAATACAACAATAACATTATTTCAATATGACCAATGTTTCTTGCTATATCGAAATTTCAACAAATGATATTTATCTATTTCATTCAACAATTTATATTTAACCATCAGGCTATATCAAATAGACTATGGAATACGTTGCAAAAAAACCCTATAAAGAAATAATAAAAAAAAAAAAATACTTTTTTGAATTAGCATTATGCTCTCTATAGTTTTGGAACACCTGTATATTGGTTTAAATATGTATTTCAGAATCGCCCAAGCAATGGGAAGGGAGAGTTTTTACTGTAAGTATATTTAAAGTAACCATGTAAGTTTCGAACAGTTTTAAAAATGTTTCTTTAGCCTCATATTATGTAAAGTAAAACGAGTTTCTATAAAATAATTGTGTCACCGCTTGAAATTTTAACAATTTATATTTCTTTTGAAGACTGACAGGAGTAAGAACTTCACACAGATTGGAAAGGTCAGCTATGACGAGACACAAAGAAGAGAAAGAGTTATTGAAGAGGTTGAATTCGGATCTGACCGGGATTACTTCGATTCTCTCTTCCTCCACAATGTCGTAAGTATTCCACTAATATGTCAAAAATTCTAATCTGATACCAAGAAAGAGGAACGTAACACTCACAGGTAATGGCACCTTTAAAGTTAGTAATAGATACAGTATGCCAAAAAAGAATCACATTGCATCTTACAGCTGTACACATTTAAACAAAGATATTATCAATTTTTATTATATTTCATTTTCATTTATTGGAACGAAACCATAACTTTAGTAGCGAATATTAATTTAAGCTTTATGATTATACTATAAAATCAATTAAATGATATAGTTATATTCAAAATAATATTCAAACGTAATCTTTTATGTCGTTCGATTGTAATCTAACAAAGCTAATTGTCGGCATTTTATCACTGGTATTTCCCTAATGTTATCTCACTAACTCCTATTTCCTTTAAGCAAACAAATTTAAGCGATACTCTAATTTTAGCGTTTTTCGTGCATTTAACATTAAACACAAATTCATAACTGTGCTTATTTAAATGTCTGAATATAGATTTGTTTATTGCATGTATTGTGATTTATACGAATTATGGAAATATCAACGTAATTGGAAACTCGAACTTCTATATATTTTCATACGTAGACGTTTTCTATTCTGGAATATAACAGTATATAAAGGATTGAGTAATTAGTGTTTGTTAACCCGCTAAGTGAGTTTTGATTTTGTCTCATGGTTTTGTCTTATCTACACCCTCGCGCGAAAATATGAGTGAATAGAATCATTTATGAATTGTATTCCATACGGTTTGTAGGGAAAAGCTTACATTCTGAACCTGAAAACAAGGAAGTGCAACGTCACCAACTTGACGGAGCCATTCATCCCCCGTGGTGTTCCCCGGGAGGCCGAGTTTGCGGGTAGTGCGACCATCGGAGCTGCTGGTGTCCCCGGGGAGTTCATGGTCGTAGAGAACTTTAGGGGAACCTTCAGGTCCTCTGGATCCAAGTTCTTTGGTGTGTCGACAGTCCCAGATTGCTTTCCGATTGAATTCGGATACTACAGCGAAAAAACTGGATTTGTTCAACAAACGTAAGTACACGCACTTTCAAGTGACATCTTATTAAAAACAAATCAGTAATTACTTCAATATTGATATTCACTATATGAATAGTCAGTATGTTTGAATTCATTTTAAATATTCAATAATAAACGAACATTTTTACCTTCCTAGTCAACAATTGTTATAAAACTCTTAATTTAATTTCAAAATTTGGTATCATTTTATTTTAAATACAAGTAATTTTCAAACATTTATTTTGATAAATGAGCATCGTTGCATAATATTAATATGCCACCTTATATTAATATATTTTGAAACTAAACATATTTGTTTTTCTTTTTTCCTCAGAATATTCGATGCCAATATTGGAATCAGCGATCCTAATGTTTTCATTCCACCAAAAGAATGCCTTTAGAATTTAACTAATTAAACATTTTTTCCATAATAATTTGAATTATCGTCTTTTTTCATTTATTTAAATCGCTACTGGGAGGTGTATTTAATGTAAAAAGCACCTGTTTGTATGCGAGACAGCATACATGTGAAGAAACACTTTGAACAAGGAAATGTGTTAATAAAAATCCTTCGTGTAAATAATTACTTCTTTATCAACATTTATTCAACTACACTTGTTTCTAGCACTTACACTTAAAACAGATGTTGCGTTGTTGAATATACGCTTTACATTAAGTACCTCTCACAATATTTGTATTTACTTTTATAAGCTGTTCTTGTGAACATTGCTTAATGGTTCGTTTCTCCTAATTGTATAACAGACAAATAAAATGTAGGACATAAGATCCTTATCTCAGATTCTGTGTTCAAGTCTAATTCCTTGTATCGATTATACTTTATTCAAATTATCAAATTCGTTTGATTAATTTGGAGGAGCTTCTGAAGGACTTGAAGCTGAAAACCATTTCAATATCAAGACCTTACTTTCAGCATGTTACGTATGTTAAAGCAAGTAGATGTGAGACCAGGGCCCGTATTCATGAAACCGTTCTCATGCTCAAGCACGGATTCTGTGCTCAAGACACTTTCCTTGTAACCCACCTAAATCATGTCACCCATCAAAAAGTCATATTTAAATATTGAAAACAGTATTCGGCTTCTAATTTCTTCAATTTTTGTCCAAAACATTAACAATTTAAAAAAAAAAAATATATATATAACTGGAACAAGAAATTTGACTTGAGCACAAAACCCAGGCTTGAGCATGAGAACGGTTTCATGAATACGGGCCCAGGATTTCTACATGAGTTTGGGCACAATTTCATTAATACGGCATATGTCTTTATGATATGCGAATACAAATTTAACAAGTGTCTTAAATTTCATTAATGCTTAAAATCATAAATCTAAATTTTGAATTTAATAATCGTCTTACGAGTCAAATATTGTGGGCTTTAATTAATTATAAACTTTTGTTTGAAAAATAAAGTTTGCAGTTTGAACGAACTTGTCACGAAAAGTAGACTTCATATATGGAATAACAGTCAGGAATGGTGACGATATGGCCATGTATAATAACATATATTGTCATTTGTATTTCTGTATACAAACATCCAATACATACCAAATGTACATGGGTAAACAACAACATACTATTCGTAAAAAGGTCTATTATTTGCGGGGATTGACGCATATATTCATATATTGTCAATACTTTCCTGACAGATGTATACATTTACGCTACGTGTATCTACGATAAGAGATTAGACATTTAACTCTGCTTATAAATTGTGTACAGCAATTTGCCATGCATGTGGAAGGCAGATTTCAAAATATCCATACAAATAAATTTAATATGTGTATTTTACAGTAACGATCCTAATACCTCTTTTGAACACTGTGTTGTAATGAATATGTCTAACCAATAGGCAGTAGATTCTGAATTCAAAATTATAATTAAAAAAAATATCCTTTTTTATCACCTCATATTGAAAATTGCCTACTTTCTTGAATGTTTAATATTAAATATATATAATCAAGACAATAACGTAGGTATCAAATTAAAAGTTACTTTAAAATGTTTACGCCGATTTCGAAATAATAGCTCGGCACAAAATACGCACCATAGCCTTGAGTAATATATGTGTCGAGAGATAAGATAAAGCGCCCAGCACGCGTGTTATATAAGGCCATCTAGTAGTGCCTCTACACTCTCGGGGAAATTCGGCGAACAAGGAATACTCAACACCAGACATGCAGAGCCTCCTACTTGTACTGCTTTTTGGAGTGGTGGCGTACGCTCAGCTTCCTAGGCCTTGTGGTATGTAGAACCGAGAATTTAGGTATTTTACATTCTTTGAATAGCCTCGAGGTGTTTTACTGTGGTAAAAAGTATCTCATAAGGACATTTAACCACTGCTGGGTAATTTTAAGTAAAAGCGTTTTACTGATTTAGCTAAATTATGAGAAAGTTATTTTAGCTTTAGTTGGTAGCCTAGATGAAAGTGCATTTCCATTTTTGAGGGTAGACCTGAAAAACGAATATGCACCGTTTCGGGGAAGACTTTGATAGACAACATTTTAATTTTTGTTTGTAAACTGGGAAAAATCAATTAACCTTTGGGAAAAAAGTCAAGATGGAAGACATTTTTCTTATGATGTGTGGAATGGAAAACGATGTTTTACTTTTTGTGGGAAGACTGGGAATATGTATAGTGCGGTTGGTGGGTCGAGTGGCGATAGACATCATTTCGTTTGATCGAGGGCCTTCATTAAAGGGATTTTACAATTGGAGGGCAACGCGTTTCATTTTACTACCCTACAATTCAACCAGTGTCTTTTCATTTCTGTCTAACTTTGCATTTAGTTTGGTGGAGGCGCATGTTTAGTTTCCTAGACCTTATGACGGGTAGTTGAAGGAGCAAGGCATTGCTTTACAAACTCTTATATATCTCTGTTAGGTCCTTATATTTTCATATTCGCGTTATTTACTTAGTTTAATCATTTTTTTCTGAACCCTCTACAACAAAAAGGCTGACATATTCAAATAATCAAGTTTTTTAAAAACAAATTTTTATTATTTATTCGTTCTTGTAGACAACAATTTGTGATTATTTTTTCTTATCACATGAATATCGTTTTATACACTTATTATTTTAACAGTTATATTCAGAAAAATATTCAAAGTTTAGACAAATCTAGTACATATACATTAATGGACATAACGTACATACATTAGAATAATTCACGTATTTCAACCTAATCGTTTGACCTACCAAAATACATTTCAACCAACTGCACAAAATTTAGTTATAGTGGATAACATAACTTAACATTAGTAGTCTATGTAAATTAATTGTCAATAATGTTAACAAGATCGAATGCCACAAAAAAACTTAGGTTTTGTAATGTTTATGTTCTCGCGAGAAGTTGCGAGAAGAGCAAATACCAATAGCTTCAGTTATTCAGACATTATCTAAGCATGGTATAAAGATATCTTTGATGATTTTATTAATTCACATCCTCAAAAATACTGTACGCGATAAGAAAGTTATTTTCTGTATCAAATGGCACATTCTAATTTCTATTAATTTTAACAGAGTCACCAAAGCAATGGGAAGCGAGAATATTCACCGTAAGTATCCGCAATGTCATTGTCCTATATCTTTTCGAATAACAGGACATTTTTGTTTAAAAATTTCACATCAATAATACGATAAATCTGTACTGTCATAATCGTTTAAAATAAATAGATATGTTACACGGACAAAGTAGAAAATACACATTTAAATAATCCTATACACATTTAAATAATCCTATACACATTTGAATAATCCCTATACACATTTAAATAATCCTATACACATTTAAATAACCCCATACGCATTTAAATAATCCTATAAACATTTAAATAATCCTATACACATTTAAATAATATAATACACATTTGAATAATCCCTATACACATTTAAATAATCCCTATACACATTTAAATAACCCTATACGCATTTAAATAATCATGTACACATTTAAATATTCCTACTTGTTCATTGGTAAATTCGACTGGAAAATGAATATATCAGAGCATCTCAAACATATCGATATATGGTTTATATATATTGTAGATTCTGTGAACATGAACCATCTTCCTAAGTTTATGATATTCCATCAATTGAACTATTTAATTATTGTACAGTAACCGTGTGTTATCTCCTCCATTATAGCAAGACATGTCTAAGAACTACACTGCGTACGCAAAAGGAAGCTATGACGAAACGCAGAGGAGATTCCGTGAAATTGAAGAAGTGGCACTAGGAACCGATCGCGAGTACTATGACGTGCTATACCTTTTCAACGTCGTAAGTACAATGCCAAGTGAAATCAATTAATCAAAACCGTTTATTACTCGACAACATTTTTCATATTCAACATACTTCTAAGCATTTTTATATAAGGTAATCTTTCTTTAATATAAACGGGCAACAATTGTCCTTTCGATCTATTTCAGTTTTCATTTCATTGTACATCATCTAAAGAAATAGTTTTTGCATCTTTTATAAAAACAATATATACTTTTTGAAATTTAGTGCATATCTTTTTAAAGGGAAAGGAATACAGATTGAATTTGAAAACAAAGAAGTGTAACGTTACAAACCTTACACGTCCCTTTCGACCATTTGGAGTTCCTCCCGAGGGTCAATTTGAATTTTCGGCAACCATTGGAGCGGCTGGAGTCCCTGGAGAATATATGGTCGTGAACAATTTCTATGGCAACTTCACTGACGGAGCTAGATTCTTCGGGACTGTCACATCACCTGACTGTATGCCAGTATCAAATGGTTTCTTCAGCGAGGACACCGGTTTTGTTCATAGAACGTATGTATAAAACGATGTTTTGAGTAACGAAAGAAACGATATAATATATCAAGACGTGTTAATGTTCAGTATCAGAATAATGTACATTAGTATCACATGTCTTGTAATTTTTCCAAATGAACTTTCTTTAGACGTATTGGGACATCCGCCATATCTGTCAATTTGGTACACGATTTAACGTGTGAAGTGTGTAACGCGTTTTACAACTTTACTGCTACATCTTGCTTACATTGAGTTGTATGGAAGAATTTTAATTGTTTTCATTTCATATTATTACAGATTTTTCGATATGAACATCGGTATTGCAGACCCAATGGTATTCATCCCGCCAAGAGAATGTCTTTAAATCTTATTTGTATTTTATTATGAAGGCAACTTATCAATAAAAAATGAAACAAATGAAATGATTTGTAAATCGTTAATGCATTATCATAAATGTATGAACAAAACCGTGATTTGATTAATGGTCAATGCTACGAAATGTTCAACAAGTGGGTGACTATTACATTGCAAACAGTCTTTCATTGTAACTTAAGCAAAAAATTATTAACATGATATATTAATTCTGTGTGAAGTAGAAATCTCAATCCGATGGTTAGATTTTTGAAGTTTGGTCCGAGGTTTTGCCGAGTGCTACAAAAAACGTATCCCGAGGGTTGATACGTCTTTGTCTGAAGCATACAGGAAGGATTAATTATTTGTTTCAAAACCTTTACTACCTATCTTCTGATGAACTCAATGCGCTGCCCTCTCATGAGAGGTACATGAATTTCGTTTGACAAAGTGATCATGAGACCCTGGTTACGCCGCATTAAGTGATGACACGATGGTGAAGTCACGATAAGCAAATAATAGCGTGTATGAGCTGTCCTTCTCTAGGTAAAGACGTTTTCTCTCATTTATGTTCGTGTCAGAAAGAAATGTTCCATGTAAGAAAGAAGTGTAAGAAAATTCTATCTTACACCCATTTTAGGTGCGTGACGTCACAGCTGTGAAGCTTTTTTTAAGCTAATGTTGATGATCAGATTAAGAAAAAAAAAATCTTTCATGCTCAGGAGTGATTGAAAATGAAAGGGACATTTCACCATCTGGATTTTCAAATTGATGCTAAAACCTCGGCAAACTTCAAGTTTTATCCAAATTGAAAACCTTTTAGGTGGAGTTTTTCTATTCTACATCCTTTGGTATGAAAGAGTCTTATAATCTTTTACTTAATGGAAACGCTGTAAAGAAAGGGAGAAGCGGAATGTCCGACATTAGGATTAGCATCTGTAAAACCGTTTCAATTGAAACAAGCACAAATCCTAATATCATATAGTATGTATGCTTAGCAAATTTATACTTTAATAGATTTATTCCCAATACATAGAATAGTATAAATGAAATATTTTACTATATGCTGTGCTGGGTGCCTTTGGCATAGTATTTCAGTGAGATAGCACTATAAAGTCGGCATCAGATCCGAGCTATCACAAGGAGGCAAGTACACCAACATATCCTTTTGCAGCACACATGCACACATACACACTTACACAACATACTAAACCCATGTTCAAATACTGTTTACCGGAACAATTGTTTGGCTAGCATTTTCCTCTGTTCATGGACATTTTGTTTCCGGGAAATGAAAGAAGCATCTTTATGTCGCACAAAAATTCGATGACACAAGGAGTCAGAACGATCAAATGTTCTGAGTATCGCTTCAAACATTTCCTTTTGTACCTGTCAAAAACTAAAAGCGTTTTTATGTAGGTTTCAAAGTTTTCTTCTTGGCAATTTGTTGTATCACAGCCTCAAAAATGAACAATAAGGGTATAAACGTGAATCAAGGATAAAAATGTGAAAAAGAGATTAAGAAACGAAATGTTACTCTTAGATAGGGTGCACAAGAAGACTTAGAAATTAGATAGCAGTAAGGAAAAAATACTGTATACCGGGAAATGTTCGCTCAGTCAAACTTCAGCCCTTCGCCGGTAAGCATATATATCTAAATTCGCCAAGTTTTAATTCCACCCTCCACATTTAATTACTATGTCTATTTTGTTGTTTACTAGTGTTACGACAATTTCGCTCTCATTACAGAGGTCGAAAAATGCGAAATTTAAATTGCAGCGAAATTCTTTCGGTATCCATTAATCTGATACCGTCAATTTAACTATTAATGTTTTCCTATGACGTTAAAATGTTCATTATTCTGAAAGTTACAGTTAACATCTAGATATGGAGCTGATGCAAATAAGTCGTATCTTATTATATGTTCTAAAGGATAAAAAAATAAATGAAAGTGATTTCTATTTTAATTTCTTCGAATTATTAATGTGGAACTGAAGATATAAATGATTTTGTGAAAAAGGGCGAAAAAAGAACATGTCGAATCGTATTCACTTTCAGAATGGGTTTACGAAGTCTACTTTTAAAAAGAATAAGGAGTTAAAAATGTGAAATTGAAACCAAACACAAGTCTATGTTTCTTGAACAAGATGCAAAACCTACGATGGCTGATTGAGGGCACCCAAATAGTTTTCTGTTATAACGGCTTACTAACTCGTTATAAAGATATACTATCTGGTTATAACGAGTTAGCATATCTTTAAAAAAAACTATTTCGTTATTACAATATCATATAACAACTAACAATCTCGTTATAACGAGTAAGTAACTCTCTATAACGAGATAATATCTCTTAATAACGAGTTAGTAAGTCGTTATAACGAGATACTTACTCGTTAAAACGGGATAGTTAGTCGTTATAACGAGATAATTACTCGTTATAAAGAGGTACACATTTATTATTTAAGTGTCCTGCCACTGTAATCAGCCACCGTAGCTGATAATGCTTCTGTATTCAAATAATTCCGAACACCGGTTAATGGGATTTGCATTGATTTCTGGAACTTAATCACAATCCTTATAAAAACACTCTACATTCGCTTGCTCTGCTAATTACTCATTCAAGTAATTATCTGAATATTCTACACATTAAATCAGGGTCGTATTGTGTCTTTGTGTGTCCCAGGAATAGGATTGATGGAATCCGGATTTAAAGGAACTCCGGGGATCTTATATAAATCGTGAACATCCTTTCAAAATAAACCATGTTTCTTTTGTCTGACTGTTCGAGTTTACCGCTCTGTACAATACCATACCTCGTTCTAGACTCGAGGAACGCCGTCATTGGCTTATTATGATTGGTCTTTTTCCAAGGTAGGCGAACAATTTCGAAATAAAAAGAACTGAACAACACAAACAAACGACAAAATCAAAGACAGAATATATTGAGGTTCAACCGCGATATCCTGGGGTTACGCTCACTTCGCCCTCCGACCCCTGGAATATGTCATAGCAAAATTGAAGGCACGCAGCTAGCTATTTGATTGGTCTCAGGTAAGAAAACATTGTCAATCACTAGGCTGATATATGTCCTTTGAAGATCACAGAGGAGCGACGCCCAACTTCAAAGCCAGTAAGTTTTACCGTTACGCGACCGAAAGATTCTTTTGATGTACATCAAAGGATCAAAGTAGTCTTCTTGTCTCATCCACAAGGTGGCGAACACTGAACCTTCGATTTTGCTATGACATATTTCAGGGGTGCAGAGAGCGTAAGAGAGCGTAACCCATGGATATCGAGGATGATTAAATTATCTTCGTTGAGTTCAGTGGTTAGATGTTCCAGCAGACTATGGCCATACAATTAGGGACAAACTAAGCCCATCTATTATCCGACCCATTTTTGTTTTAATATGATGCTGGGTTTATCAGGAGAGGTAACAACTACCTTGTCAAGTCCTTCAACTTTGCTTTGAGTATAAATCGATGATGTCTAGTCTTTAAATGTTCGGATTATTTTTTACCTTCGCATTAACCATGCTGAACTTGAAAGCAAGAACATCACCAATTCTTCTGCATTCGCCATTTAACACGATCTTTGCTTACTGAATGTACAAAAAGTACGGCTTTAATACTAATCGGTATGATATTTTACTTTCTTGAAATTTCTCTTTTTTGATAAAAAAAAACATATGTGCTCCCGGTGCTATATTCACGGGCTTGCTCCGAGTATCACGTGTTTCTGGATAGAATGCTGACGGCAAACCTTCAACAGACGCAAAAGTGTAAAGTTGCCTTAATGATCTACGATTTCATTTCATTGTGAAATATGAATATTGAAGATTTTGACGCTTACCCTTTCGGAACACCTGGCCTTATTATACCCTTTCAAGGACTTTTGTGTAAATATTTTTTCTTCTCGCTTTTTGTCTTAATCAACTCACGGTTTGAAGAAACCCAATGTTAGGGACCTTTAAAAGACTAAGACATGAAAAACCAACAAGTATATCATGTGGTTTGAGTCATATATCGCTCACTCGGCCTAAAAATTAGGTCGTGATTTTTATGATGAACCTCGATCCATTTAAGTCAGTAAAATACAATGCGACGCAGGCAATAGGATTTCGAGGAAACCATAAGTAATTCACTAAACATTTATTTGGACAAGTTTTAAAATCTTAATGACATGACTTAAGTTATATCTAAACGGAATTTAAGGGGGTTACTGTAAATTGGAGAAACGCCAGTGCAGTTGGACAGGTATCATCAAGGTCGAAAGTCTCACATTTTTCTACTGTATAACAGACAGTACAATGTTTATACACAAACAACAAAGGCGTGGTTTAAGTTTATACATATAAATCAATTTAAACATGTTAAACGATATTAGGTCAGGTATACATTCATCACACTCACTGCTTTGTCATCCTATACAGTACAACTGTAACACTCCCTCTGTCAATCCAAGAAAATATTATTATCATTATATAACATTATAATACATCAACACATACAAATATTAAACATTTGGCCTGAAATGGGGGCTGGCATAATTTAAGCTAACGGTAATTCAGCTCACTGGGAATGACATGATATTATATGATATTATGCAATATCTATATACTGTTGCGTTCATGTCCCAGTGGCTGAATTACTAGGAGTATGCATGGGGATTATAGACCGAGTATGTAAAACTGTAGTGTATTCGAGCCGTGAGTCTCGAGAGGTGAGTCACCCAAGAGCCGTGAGTCTCAAGGGAAAACCCAGGTGTCACACTCGGTCCGATGAACCCCAACTCGACTTAGATACAACCAGACTGCCAGGTCCGACAGCTGTACATACCAGCCCAAGAGCCGTGAGTCTCAAGGGTTTCTCCGCCGTGAGTCGTTTAAACAGCCTGATTGTATACTATAAATGTATACTTTTTGAATAGTAAGTAATATAATACTTGGGGCCAAAGAACGTAACAATAGCCCGTAAAGCCGAAAGGGTTATTGAGTAGTGGATAGCCCTTTAAGACCTTTTAGCTATATATCATGCCAGCTCCTAATATTATGCTTGAAGTACATGTACGT